AAAAAAAAAAAAAAAAAAAAAACAAGAAATGAGATAGACAAAGAAAAAAAGAAAATGGGCCAGGGATATAAAAAGAAAATAAGCTAGAACAGAATTATGGCTTGTTAATACACGAAAAAAAATCTTCTCCCAGCCTTTTAGCAACATATTACCTCTGACCAATTAGAACAGGAAAGATTATAAAGAATGATAATACCATGATTGGCCTAAGTGTGAAGAAATGGCCATTCATATGCTGTCAATGAGGGTAAGCAAGAGAACTGCTTGAACCCAGAAGTTTGAGGTTGCTGTGAGCTATTACAACACCACTGCATGTTAGCCTAGGCAACAAAGTGAGACCTTGTCTCCAAAAAAAAAAAAAAAAAAAAGGACAAAACCCCAAAAGTTTAAGAAACAGTATATAAGCTTGGTGCCTGGAGCTCAAGCGGCTAGGGCACCAGCCACATACAATGGAGCTGGTGGGTTCAAACTCAGCCTGGGCCTGCCAAATAACAATGACAACTACAACCAAAAACTAGCCCGGCATTGTGGTGGGCACCTGTAGTCCCAGCTACTTGGGAGGCTAAGGCAAGAGAATCGCTTAAGCCCAAGAGTTTGAGGTTACTGTGAGCTATGACACCATGGCACTCTACTTAGGGCAACATAGTGAGACTCTGTCTCAAAAAAGAGAGGGAGAAAGAAACAGTATATAGCAAATCCAGTGATTAAAAAGTATACATGTAAATTTCCATGTACCTCTTACAGTGCCCATTACATATGCATATATGTGCAAATAATATGCCCACATATAAGTACTCTCAAAAAGCTTAAAAGATTATACAGTGAATTCTTAGCAGTTATCAGAATATTGAGCATACAGATTATTTAGATAATTAATTTCTGTGCTTATTTATATATTCTAATTTTTAAATAAACAAAAATTATATAAAATAACAATTTTAGGAAAGATAATCTATACATTTCAGAAAAACACGATAGATTTATCAAATGGCAAAAGAAATGATTTGTCAGATTTCACATCAATTTCTAATAGAAGAAAGGAAAAATAAAACATAAACCAAAACCAAAAACACTCAAGAGCTTCTTAACCTAGAATTTCAAACAAATGTTTTTATGTTATTTAAAATTTCATTGTCTGTATTACATTAACAAGAAAGAACACTAGCAGGAGGTGAAGCGCAGTAGACTTCTCTTACTTGAATATGATCATTTTTAAGTAGAGATTTTAGTTTTTTCAATTCAGGATCATTTGAATTTTCATTTTTTCCAAAATGAAAAAATAATAGCCACCGATGATGAGCCAAACGATCCTTAAATGTGATAAAGAAAAAGAAATGTCAGAGAAGGGAAATTCTAAGGGTTTTAATCTTTACTTCTTTGACTTTAAAGTTATTTTAGCTACCACATCCATTATTTCAAAATAGTATCTAAAATTTTCACTTATTCTCCTATTTTGTATTTAGAATAATGCTTATGTAAATCAATTATATCACAGTAGGGGTAAGTCACTAAATTATAAAATTTTAAGTTAGATGGCTGCACAAAAAATTTTAACAACATATAGCTAAAAAGTTGGTGGGGGGAATTGGGTGGGAAAGTCAGCCTTTTCAGCCTTTTTAAGATTTGGTAGGTATATAGACTTAGTTTGTGAATAGAATGTTTAGAAGTATTCAGTTTGGGGTAGACTCTCTATTCTGTATCCTACTTATTGAACACAGAGCTTTCTGAATGATTTTTAATTCTAAGTGAACAATAAAAAGTTATATAAGCAAGAACAGTTTCAAATCAAATCCAAGATTGATTTATGATTAAAATCTTGTCTTTTCTCATGTTCATTTTGAAGACTACCTTCAGGATTGGATAGGTTTTCCAAAACTACAGATCGACTCTGAATCACCGACACCAGCACTCCAATTAGAATTTAAGCTAGAACTAATGAATATATATAATCTCTTGAAACGACTACTTTCAATTCTAGTTAGAAATGAATAAAACCAATGCTAGTTTTAAAATATTAAGACTTTAAATGTTATCAACACTCATTACTATTTATGATTAGTAAAAACATTACCTCTAGTGTGTTGGCAGAAAGTAGTTCAAAATCTGGAAGAGTCTGTATTATTTCCAAATATATTTCTTTAGCATCCAGTGAATTAAGAAACTAGAATAAGAAGATCATATTGTAATCATTTTGAATAAATATTTATATTTGGTGGGGTTTTTTTTTTTGTTTCCAAAGTAGTAATTTTAATGAAATAGGAAGTCAAACAGATTTTCAAATGATTCCAAAAGTCGTTTTTTCAAAAAACAAAGTATATCATAGTTTGGTAATTATTAATATTACATAACTATTTCTTAAAAATAGTGATATGCAGTAAATTCTATAAGGTGTTTTCATTACTTGAAACCTATGCTGTGTAGTCTATGGAAATCCTCAGAATACTCTGGAGTGACCTCTAAATCATCAGGAAGAAAGTAACATTATGTTCAGTTTAATTTTAATCATGTTTTACACAATACCAATGTGCTTTATACAATTAAAAAAATTAACACTACAACTTCTGATCTAAGACACTTCAATATCCCAACCAATAATTAGAGTAATTACGAACATAGAACTCTGGTGGCACCCATGGCTCAGTCAGCAAGGGCGATGGCCACATACACCTAGGGTGGTGGGTTTGAACCC